CATTGGGATGAGATGCTCAATCTGTGGTAGGATAACCCCCAACTTAGGATGAGACGATCACGTACCCTTGGGATGAGATGCCCAACCTTGAGGTGGGTAACCTCCAACTTAGGATGAGGCGATCACGTACCCTTGAGATGAGATGCCCAACCTTGGATTTGGATAACCCCCAACTTAGGAAGAGGCGATCACGTACCCTTGGGGTGAGATGCCCAACCTTGGGGTGGGATAACCCCCAACTTAGGAAGAGGCGATCACGTACCCTTGGGGTGAGATGCCCAACCTTGGGGTGGGATAACCCCCAACTTAGGATGAGGCGATCACGTACCCTTGGGGTGAGATGCCCAACCTTAGGGTGGGATAATCCCCAACTTAGGATGAGGCGATCACGTACCCTTGGGATGAGATGCCTAACCTTGGGGTGGGATAACCCCCAACTTATGATGAGGCGATCACGTACCCTTGGTGAACAAAATATTTTGGGGGCATTGTAAACCCCCAGGGAGTCGATAACCCTTGGCGAGCGAAATGTTATGGGGAACGGTAAACCCCTAGGGAGTCGATAACCCTTGGCGAACGAATATTTTGGGGGCAGAGGTAAGCCCCCAGGGAGTCGATAACCCTTGGCGAACGAAATATTTTGGGGGCAGAGGTAAGCCCCCAGGGAGTCGATAACCCTTGCTAGCATTGAAGGGCCTCGTCGGTTGTCTGAACCGATCGAGGGGCGGGAAGAAGTGAATCCTGTTGAGGATCTAGTGGGACATCCGAGGAAGGTCTCGTGGTGGATCCCGAGCACGAGGAGGAGGAAGTGGCAAGCCAGACCTCCACGAGGTGGGAGGTCGTCAGCAGTGTCACACTCCCCTTGGGCAAATGTCTCAAGGCCGTCGTGCGCGCTACGTGATTATGTCTGCCTTCCCACAGACGGCGCCAAAATGATGATGCTAAAAATAGATCACCTTATATAGTTGAGATTGAAGGAGCTGGGAAAGCAAAGTGGGTCACTGCTCACGTGCTAGATAGCCCTGAGACACCTGCGAACGAAGAACACGTGAACTAGGCCGGGGGTTGATCCGGCAGAAACCCCTCCGACGCTCAAGTCAGACGTGCGGATAATGGAAATAGTTCGGGAGAATATGACCCCTAGTATTATTTGGATAATAGGGCGTACCTTTAGCAAATGAATTATATCGTTATTTATACCATAGATGAGATCGTTGAGCTCAAACCTTATTTGAAGGTGATTGGGCCTCGATGATATTAGTCTTCAATATTGGGCTCGTGGCCCAGTAGGTAAATAAATTGTAAGTCCATTAGGTTGGCCCAATTAGGCATATCAATATATATATATATATATATATATATATATATATATATATATATATATATATATATATATATATATATATATATATATATATATATATATATATATATATAGATATATATATATATATATATATATATATATATATATATATATATATATATATATATATATATATATTACATTTTGAATTTTACTTATTATCGAAGTTCATATAATTAATTGTAATTGTATTGTTCATGTTATATCACTTGTAGAGATTTTTTTAAAATATTGTATTTTAGTATTGAGATTATTTCGTAAAAATATACAAGCAAAATGTTATAAAAGTTAAAAAATATTAAACTTTTTGTATGTTAACGGGTCTAGCGGGTCTGGCGGGTCAGAACCGTTTAGTTAGGGTCAGGGTTGGGGCGGGTCTGGGTCTAAGCTAAAACGGGTTGGGGCGGGTCTTGGGTTTATATATTTTTCGTGGGTCGGATCTTGGGTTTAGGAAAATCCGGCCCAGAACCGACCCGTTGCCATCCCTACTCTTGTCAACACTGAATCAACCCGACTCGACGAAACTACCTTAATTATCTGCAAAATAAACAAATCTGTGTGAGCCTTTATAGACTCAGCAAGAATTTCGAACATTAACGAACTATAATTAAGAATCAAACAGCATAACATATATAGATATAAGCTGCTTTTATAATCGGGTCAGCACAATAAAATCGTATAAATATTACAACTTTTGTAGTTATAACGATTCTATAGTTTTTATAATCTGCATGTTAGTGTCTTTTCTTCTTTAATCCCCATGACTCCTTAATCTGCAAGAATATTCATATAACAAACATAGATGACATATATGGAAATATAATTTGGATCCATTGGGAATTCAATCAGAACATCAATTATAAACGTCGATTTCAGAACCCGATCGACGTGGAATCAAACCACACATTTTTTTTTTCTATAGTTAGAGCACCGGTCCCCCATGCTCGTGTTTATTCAATATCTACTCTGAGTGATTTCCCAATATTTTTGAGTTTTCGAAAAATGATGCAAATGGTTAGACGAACGATCATCAGTCTTATTATTACCTTGATTACCGAATTTAAAGATTAAAATATACTTCATATACACCCTATAATCGACATTACACTTACACATGATTAAACGAGTACGGTATAATAATGCATGTATACACCTATATAACCACACAAGAATTTTGACTTGGATCATTAAGCTTCCTAACATGCACTGATCTAATACTTCCATGCACGACTAATAATTTCATATATGACATTTAATAATTTAAATTTAATAATTTAAATATCCAGATTTTGATTTTTAATTAAGATAAAAAGATTGGTTTCCACTATGCCTAGATTTTGAGAAATCTTTGAGGATTAATAATACCTGTAGAAATTATATAGAAGGAAAATTTTCAAATTTTTAAAATCTTTGGTTTAATAAGAAAAATTATATTTTTCTTTCAAACATATATTTATATATATAAAGATATTCAATAGGAATGCAAGCAAGAGTTCGAATCTTGCCTGGACTAAGATTTAGAAGAAGAGAATGACTAGAAATCGGAGAAAAGACGCATGCAATACAAGATCTTCAATTCTTATTAAACGATACTAAGATTTAACGAGGAACGCTTGGCCGATTGAGATAACCCGAGAGAGAGTGATACGAACACTGGTGATGAGAGGTTTCTCAGGGTAATTGGGGCTGGATTGTTGCTAATATTTTTGGAGAGGTTTTGATATCTCGATTGAGAATAAAAGGGTTGGTATTTATGTAGATGCAGAAGAGGAAGAAGTTGAGGATTGGATTTCCTGGAAATTTCAATTGCCGTGAAAAATGAGGAGTAGAGACCTCTGGTCTTCTTCCTTAACTAGGGAGAAAACAAGTCTCGATTTTTGTGAAAAGAAGAAATAATGAATTTTCATAGAAATTCTCATACTGTGTAATAGGAAGTACAAGTGTATGTAAGATGAGGTACAACACCAAGAAGCATGCCTTTTAAAATTAAAATAAGGCAATATAATTCAATAGGAAATACAAGGTATTTTTCCTAATTACGCACTATACCACTAATTGAAATTCCCTAGGAGAGAGCTATCATGGTAAGTTTCTATATCTTGGCTGGCAGGATTTAAAATTCTAGATAATTTCCTAAGAATTTCTTATCCCTATAATGTGGTCAATTAGATAATTAAGTAAAATACTTAAATAAATTCCTACTTGGTAAAGAAGTATACGTGGTTGTATACATATAGTATTAAGTTATTAAGTATATACATACCTATATATATACACATATAAAATACTCATTAAATGCAGTTAAGTCTAATTACTTGTTAATTAGTTACTTCATGTAAATTGGAATAAGTCATGCATGCAATGAATGATGAATTTAATAAAATGATAAAAATATAATTATACGTAAGGGTGACGAGGAAGTGGGGTGTTACAAAACATTCATCAATTTAAAGCAGTGGCTTCAACATATCACATGAAATTGAAATTCCCGACTCCCCAAGGAATCGGTGAGGAAGTTGGAGAGCACCGCATATAGAGAGAATGCTATGCTAATACTATTAAAGAACGATGGGACCTTTGAAACGGCATGGTGGGCGATGCGACGTATCTTTGAAAAGTCGAGGTAATTAAAGAGAAGTTAGCCCGTTCATCAACAGATGAAGAAATGCATGTTATTGAAAATCAACCAGACGAAGATACGCGACTGGAGGCAGCTGAAACGCTAAAAACAGTTGAAGTGGTACCAGGAGATCCGTCTAAAGTGACCAGAATTGGAGCTGACTTAGAGCCTGAGATGGAGGAAGTAATTATTGCTTTCTTACGGAACAATTCCGATGTTTTTGCCTGGAGCGGAGAAAATCTATCGGGAATACTTGAAGAGTTTGTTATGCATCATTTAGATGTAGATCCTAACGCAAGACCAATCAAGCAAAAGAAAAGAGCTTTTGGGCCAGTTAGGAGTCAACATATCAAGGAGGAAGTTAACAAATTGCAGGATTCCAAATATATCCGACCTGTCCGATATCCAGAGTGGATCGCTAATGTAGTCCTGGTAGAAAAGAAAGGAGGCAAGTGGAGGTTATGCGTGGATTTTACAGATTTGAATAAAGCTTGTCCAAAAGATCCATATCCTCTGCCAAGAATCGATTTATTGGTAGATTCAACATCAGGCTGCGAGTTGCTGAGTTTCCTTGATGCTTATCAAGGATATAACCAAACAAGGTTGGCCCCGAAAGACCAGGAAAAAATAAGTTTTGTAACTGACCAATGAATCTTTTGCTATGAGGTAATGCCCTTCGGACTAAAGAACGCTGGAGCCACTTACCAACGTCCTGTCAACTCAATGTTTGATGGCATGCTGGGACGCAACATGGAAGCCTATATAGATGACATGTTAATTAAGAGAGTTATCTCCTCAAAGCATACTAAGGATCTAGAGGAGTGTTTTACTATTTTGAGAAAGTATCAAATGAAGCTCAACCCTGAGAAGTGTACATTCGGAGTCAAAGGAGGAAAGTTTTTGGGTTATTTAATTTCGCAACGAGGAATAGAGGCCAATCCAGAAAAAATAGAAGCTTTCATGAAAATGTCGCCCCCTCGGACTTTAAAACAAGTGCATGAACTTACAGGACGGATGGCTGCTCTTAATCGGTTTTTATCTCGGTCAACCGAAAAAAGACTACCGTTTTTCAAAATTCTCCGTCAAGGGAAGCACTTCCGTTGGTCCGATGAATTTCAGCAAGCATTTGAAGATTTGAAGAAATATTTGAGTTCACCACCCTTACTGATTAAGCCAGAGACGGGAGATATATTGTCCATTTATCTGGCTGTAGCGCCAGAAGCAGTAAGTGTTGTTCTTGTAAAACAAGTAAATCGTGAACACCATCCAATATACTACATCAGCTGAGCGCTGCAAGGAGCTGAGCAACGCTATAGCAATATGGAGAAGCTGGTTTTTGCTTTAGTAACGGCTGCTCGAAAATTACGCCCGTACTTCCAATCTCATCATGTAGTAGTTTTATCCAACCACCTTTTGAAGCATATATTGTCAAGTCCCGAAGCGTCGGGAAGAATGGTCAAGTGGGCTGTCGAGTTAAGCCAATATGGATTGGAGTATAACTCTCGTCCAGCGATAAAAGCTCAAGTTTTGGCAGATTTCCTCGTTGAGATGGCAGGATTTGAAGAAAGCAATTCAACTCCTACCTGGCTAGCAAGTTTTGGCAGATTTCCTCGTTAAATTGGCATAGTCTTGGAGAGTCCGCAGGGAGATAAAATTGAATATGCGATCAAGCTCGATTTTCACGCTTCAAATAACGAGGCGGAATACGAAGCTTTTATAGCAGGGATCCGTTTATCCCTAGCTGTTGGAGCCCGAAAGCTAGTTATACATAGTGATTCGCAACTTGTAGTGAATCAAGTCTCGGGAGTTTATGATGCAAAACAAGAAAAGATGGCGCAATACCTTGCTATAGTCAAAAAGTTACTAACGCGGCTTGAAGATTTTGAAGTCAAGCGAATTCCGCGAACCGCCAATGAAGGAGCTGACAGTTTATCTAAACTGGCCAGTTCAATGTCTAATATTAATAGCCGGCGGATTACTTTTTCAGTTTTTACCAGGTCGGAAATTGACACTTTAGATGTAGTGATGTGCAATGAGGCTGCTGAACCAACATGGATAGATGAGTTGGTGCGATACCTAACACTAGGTGAACTCCCATCCGACCAGTCTCAAGCACGTAAAATATGCACTCGAGCCGCTCATTTCACTATGGTGGATGATGAGTTATATAAAAGAGGTTTCACTCAACCATTTCTGAAGTGTTTGACGCCACAAGCAGCGGACTACGTACTTCGAGAAATTCATGAATGTATTTGCAGTAATCAGCTCGGAGGAAAAACGTTGGCAGGAAAGGCACTTCGTCAAGGGTACATTTGGCATACCATGCTCTAAGACGCAAAGGAGTTGGTTAAAAAGTGCACTACATGTCAATTACACGCCAACATAGCCCATTAACCGTCCGCATTGCTTCAACCGATGAAGTGTCCCATACCTTTTGCACAATGGGGTATTGATTTGATAGGCCCATTTCCAGTGGCTACATGTCAAAGGAAGTTTCTCATCGTTGCAGTTGACTATTTTACAAAGTGGGTAGAGGCTGAACCGCTCGCAAAAAATTCTGAAAAAGAAGTTATCAGTTTCTTATGGAAAAATATTGTTTGCAGATTCGGTGTACCACGTGCATTAATATCAGATAGCGGAACGCAGTTCGCCGGTTCAAAGTTGAAAGATTGGTGTGAAGGCTTGCACATCAAGCATTTTTTTACCTCAGTATACAATCCACAGGCTAATGGACAAACAGAGGTGACCAATCGTACTATACTGCAACATTTGAAGACTCGACTTGGAAACGCAAAAGGGAGGTGGGTAGAAGAACTTCATAATGTGCTTTGGGCATACCGTACCTCTCCCAGATCTGCAACTGGTAAGTCACATTTTTCTTTAGCGTATGGAACCGAGGCATTCGTCCCAGTCGAGATTGGAGAACCTTCTTGGAGAGCAAGATACTATGAAGTGCATAATAACGACGTGGCTATGAGAATCAATTTAGACCTTCTTGGTGATTTAAGAGACGGTGCAACAGCTCGAATTCAGAATTATAAGATTCGCATGGCTCGTGCTTACAACTCCAGGGTACGATCACGTACGTTTCAAGTTGGCGACTTAGTAGTGCGCAGAGCTGATCTTTCAAGGCCTATTGGCAAGTTAGATGCAAAATGGGAATGGCCCTACAAAATCGTGGAAATAGCCAATCCTAGTGCATATCGTCTACAACATCTTGACGGACGGACGATTCCTCGCACTTGGAACATTATCAATTTGAAGCGTTTCTTTCCATAGATTTGGAAATTTTTACTATGTACAGTTTTTTATGTTGAAGACGTTCTTTTTCTTTTTTATGCATTTTTCTTTCGCTTGATGTAAGAAGGGGTACTCTTTTCCTTGTTTTGGCCAACAAGGTTTTTAATGAGGCCCCTATGATCGTTCCATGTCTTAATGCAACAGACATCTTTTTTCGGCCAAAGATTTTGTGTGAGCTGTTTCTTTTGAGTTGTCTCGACACTTAAGATGACATATCTACATCACCTTACAACACTTCTGAATCATGATTTGTTCGCCACATAAAAGGTTATCCTAGGTGGTTCAAGAACATTAACAAGGAATTCAAAAACTCAACCTAATACAAGGAGTGACACTTCACTCGTTAATGGGTTCAAGAGTTTTCCTTGATTAGGGAGACTGATCACCTCTTTAATAAACATAAAAGTACAAAACAAGCAATTTTCGAGAGTTAAAGAATTCTGAGGTGTGATACAACTTGGAGTCATCAAAACTTTAGTCAAGAGAAATAAAGTATCAACAATCAGCAAAGGAAATGGCAATTCAAAGAAATCAAGATGTTCAGCTGGAAGTAAATTTAAAATGCGACTACTCTACGAAATACGAATGTATTTCCTAATGATAAAAAGCAATCTAAAATAAAGGAAAAATAAAAAGCTACACTACGGTCTTTTTTTTTTTCCTACATCTGCATCCTTAGGAAGCGAGTTATCCTTCAGAACCATTGTAGCATCAACTGGTGGCTCTACCGCAGTCGACTCCTCAAAAGGGATCATCTTAGTACTTGGTACTACACTCGGTTCTGAAATGTCTTGCCCGAGTAGGTTAATGACATCTTCGGACACTCGACCGGTCTCCCTCAACTGGCGTTGGCACATAAGAACCACCTCATCGTACAAATCAACAGAAGCTAGAGTGGCATCTCGTGCAAACTCCTCCTTATGGTACCTTTCCAGCTCTTGTTTTCTTATTTGTTCCAGGAACTTCTTGCCTTTGTCAGATGCCAAGAAAAAAACGCCGGTTTGTTTCTCTTCAAAGTACTTCTCCGTCATACTCTTTAAAGCCGCCATTGTTTTGTCTTGTGCTTCCTTGACGATCTTCATCTCAGCAGCAACCATCTCTGCACGAGCATCACTCTCGACCTTTGCTTTTACGGCCTTTTCTTCTGAATGTTTTATAACATCAATCGCCCTCTTGTAGTCTTCAAGACGCTTGCGAAGACTTTTCCAACCAGTGACAACCTGCGAACTCATGTATCAAATACATTCAGCAAGAACACGTCATATTATGACCATACGGCTAAAAAGTATAAAACAATTTACCCGGGCAATGTCGCTCCCCATAAAATCAGCCGCATCTAGATCGGAAAAGGCACCTAGTCGTTTCATGTCCAAGTCTGAAATGGCACCTCGAATAAGGTTACATCCTGCGCGAGGATTCTCCACATCACACATGGAACCGCTCATATCAGAGTCAACGACGGAACTAACAAAAAGAAGACCTTTACCAACAGAAATATTAGAAGACGAGCCTCCGTCATCCTTTTTCTGCTTCGATGCATTAGTACGTGGAAGTTCGTGAGATTTTTTAGTGAAAGAAATGCCAGGTGCGTCTCGCCTAACTTCACGAGTTGCATCGGCCCGATCAGGCGAAGATGACCTTTTTCTTTTCCCCGCAGCATCACCCGACGGTACGCTCAAGGAATTAGGCAGATCATTAGCTCGAGCCGGCACACCACAAGAAGACTTCAATCGACGAATCTCCTCAGCCGACACCTTAACTGTAGAAAATAATGTACACTCATTAGCTCGAAGAATAAAGCGAGTATAATATAATAACGCAAGAAAGACAGTTGAAACAAAGTGAATAGTAAATAATCTACCACCAAGTGCTATTTCCTTAGCATTTAACGATAACTTAAATAATCCTGCCATTTTCAATTGTTTCCAGGTCGAACCTCGTGAACCTGTGCTACTCTCAAGCACATTCGTCGACCCCCATACTGAAGATATGTCCCATCCGTCATCTTTCATAAAGAAAAATTCACAAGCCCAAGGACCCTGTGATCGATTACCACCTAACAAAATTTTGGAGTGTGACCTTGCCTTAAAATAAAATGAGCCCTTCATAGCACCTTTTTTTTATCATAAATGACGCGTGAAACGCGTCTACATAAATTGGTTGTCCCACTTGTCGCATCGCCTCGATGAAACCGGCAAAGATGGTAAACGTGTTAGGGTAAAATTGACTTATGCTAAGTCCCGTTACCTTAACCAATTCATTCACTACGGGCAAAGTAGACGGTTTAAAACCACACTTGAACCAATCTGAATAAACGGTAAAAAAACCAATCGGCGGCGCACGCATTCTATCTCCTGCTTCTGGGAACTGGCATAATTTCCCGAACGGGCCTAAGGAAGCGACAATGGAGTTAAAGCGTCGTATTCTCAACGTCGACGCGCATGTGAACGAATGTATATCTTTTAAAGAAGTTTTTCGTTTTTTTTCTTACGTGCAGCAGGCGTGCAAACCTCGATCAGCAACTTTGAATCCGAACATGAAGAAACTTCATTAGATGATGAATCCCGAAGCGCTGATGTTCCACTTAACAAATTTGAGTCGCCGCTAACTGTTGTCTGATGAGATTGAGAGGGTGTATTATAAGTTTGAGGCGTCGACCTTCATATTCTACAGTCTCTGGCACCTCCGACAAACTGCCTTGATGATGAAGATTCTCGGAAATCAATTTTGATTTTCGATTACTATCAATTTCGAATGGTCGAGGCGGGCTCCCTAAATCGCCGCTATCCAGGTCCCCTATGACGTCTACGCCAAGCTCTTCGACATTAAAGTTTCCTAACATGTCCTTTTCTAGTTCTATGTAATCAAGGTTGTCGAAGGGTATCGGTCCGATACCGACATCTCCCGCACCTACACACGAGCCGTCGTGGTTATTCGAGATGACTATTTTTGACGACACCTCCAAGCCGTTAGGATTCGAACCGCCCGGGCTCTGGGCTAAGTTGACGACCCGCCTCGAGTTTTCACCAACTCCAACAAAGTCGCTATCGTTGCTATTCGACCCGATATTACGTAAATCGACCATGTCAAAACTAAGACGTTTCAAAAATAAAAAATAAGATTAACACTGGTCAGGTTAGGGTTGGCGTTTCACGTAAAGGAGGGATCCTTGCACAAGGGTTCAACTTGGAGCGTGTGATTATAATTGTTATTTAGCAAATAATAAAAAATAAAAAAAAGGGAAAAGAGAGAATATACAATGACCTAATACATGTATATACCTCTCGGGGCCATAAGTCTGATTTTGGCTTGGATATCACAAGGTCCCACCAATTCTTTTTCTCTCTTAATTATTTTATTTTTCTTCCTTGCAGCAAACCGACGAAATAATTCTATACTCTCAACCGAGTTTCAGTTCTTGATATTCGATTGAGAGTGTGGGGGGATTATGATGTACATGCCAAAAATATGATGAGGCCCAAAAATTATAATTATAATATTTGGGCCCAATTATCAATTAAAAGCCCAAGATTACATTCCAGGCCCATAGTAAGATTCCGTATATAAGTGCTTTACGTTTATCGAGAAAAGGTAATTTTTCTATTCGAAAGACATTAGAATATTTTCTTCTCGTATTTTCTCTGATATTCTTCTCTTGGAATCTGAACTGACTTAAACATTGGAGGGTTTTCGCCGGAACCAAGCTCCGGCACCCTAACGTATATTTTTCTTACGCAGGAAACACCTAATCCATCAAATCGAAGAAGATCATCACTAAACCGTATCGATTCCTGAGTATTCGTTGCATGTTTAATTTGAGGTGATTCGAGTTAACTTATTGTTGACCGCATCACATATTTATTCCAATTATTTTTATATAATATTTCCACCAGTTGCAATAAAAAGAACCATCAATCGAATAATTTAGTGATAAAAATTTATTTTATTTTAGTTTGTAAGCTGAAAATATAATTGTTTTTAATAATCCAATGTGATATTTATTTTTTCGCACTTTGCGCGCTCAAAATTAGGCTGTATGTTGAGGAAAATAACTATTTAATTTGTTATTTTGTATTCCGAAAAAAAAAACTAAAAGAAAAATGAAATTGCCTTTATTATTCAATTCATGGTGAATCGTGAGTAATTTGTTGTGTTTTAAAGATACAGAGTTCTATTATTTTTTTTTAAGGGTGTAAGGTGCCAAAAGCCTCCATTTCAAGGGTGCAAAGTGGGTTAAGCCTAGATAATAGCACTAAAAAGGAAAAATAGCACATAGTTTTTCTTTTTGTTTTCCAAATAAACTAATAGATAAATATGCAGTAATCACGTACTAGCTCTAGTTACATGCATGCATGCCAGGCCCTTTCAAAACATCCACGTGTCCACACTATATGCACACGCGTCAAGCAGCTGGAGCAGTTCAATCTCCGGTCCAATGCCGACGACCCATGTAATTCATCACCGTTCCCCAAAATTAAAAAGAAAATATATATATAATTATATTCAATATTAATAATCTGAAAATAAAAGAGAGGAAGAAATTAGAAATGATAAACGCCGCACTGAAATCAGCTAGGCACCCATCTGTATTCTCATATTCTCTGCCAAACCAAATTATAACCCGCCGGAAACCTTCGGGTATCAGATTCGCTCAATCCGGGTCAAGTACTCAACCCGACCAAATGGACCAGAAAACAGTCCCAGAATCCCATACCAAGTAAGTAGGTGTACGTACACCAATTTAATTCTTTTGCTCGATAGATATTAATTCTCATAACTCGAGTTGAAATTCAGAATTTATTTTGGCCTTGAATAAGGGATACGATGTCGTCTTTCGGAGAAGGATACGCGACGAGGTCCGACGAAGAAGGCTTCGGCGGAATCTATGGCGGGAACCAGTACTTTGGGAAAGACAAAGATGAGAAACTTGGCAATGAAAACGAGGGCAAAATTGTCCATGAGGATGCCGACGGTGCGTATTAATTAATTAATTAAATTATAAAAACGTTAATTAGGGATTAATTAAGCCTTCACTTCAATTTCAATGCATTAATTAATTTGAGGTAATTAATTATATTAATTATTTGATATTGATTTGGTTATGGGAGTAGAATTTGATCACAGCCAAGGGAGTGAAGTGAAGGAGAAAGAAAAGGCACGGAACCAGAGCAATGTGGTGACCAAATAATTTAAATGTTTCCGATTCGACGGTTTTTTTTTTCCGATGTATAGTCGAATTCCGTCCGAACTTTTGTTGGACAAGTTATTTTAATAAAGACATGATGCCTTTCGATTCGATTCCGTTCGAAGTCCAAATACAAGTGAATAATGATGTTTTGAGTTTCGGTGTGATTTTGACCATTCTCGAGTTTCAATTTGGCAAAAAATCAAAACGAGACATTTGCACTTCTTTGGTTTAGATATTAAATACAATTTGACTCACCCAGATTAATTAGATGTTGGGAGATAAAGATATTAATAAATCAACGAACATTGTCTTGTGACTTAAAATATAACATAATTGACTCGTGCAGAATTTTGTTATCTGACTCAAATTGAATTAAAAAGTTAATTTAAAGGACTACACTTTTCAAGAGTTTTGATTTTTTTCAAAATCAAACTAGAAATGGTCGAAAAAATTGTCCTCGTGCTTGGTCAATAATTTGGTTTTTATATTTTTTTACCACGATTTTAGTCGTCCACACACATTAACAAAAAAAAAAATAGAACGAAATTAGCCACAACTGAGGAAAAAATAAACACTAAACAAAAACTAAAAAATACAAGTAATTAATAAGGGGTCACTATAACAAGTTTAAAATCACAATTGAGTAAATATTTATAAGTTTTTTTCTTACTTTAATACCAAAATAAAAAGACAATCATACAAAATATTAATTATATCAATTTTTTTTGAAATTACCTATTTTAAAACCAAAAAAAAAAAAAAAAAAAAAACTCTTTTTCTTTCAAATTCCCTCCACCGTTTCTTCTCCTCTCCACCGTCGTTCACCGCCGCTCCAACCCTCGCCGCCGCCGCCGAACACCGCCGCCGTTGAAACCTCTATTGTTATCAAGCCGCCGCCGCCTTTGTTGTACAAGTAATACTTGTTTTCGATTTTTTTTTCTTTAATATTTATTTAGGATTTGATTGTTTGCATATGAGTAATTAGGATTTGATTGTTTTAGGTAGGAATGATCGTTAATTAGTAATGGGTGCATCTAATTTCAGTCGATTTGAGCATTGATTTGAGATTCGTGGGTCGGTTCTTCGTTCAAAATAATCGACCTGTATATGTCGATTTTTTCAAAATTTTCGAAAATTCTGCAAAAATCGACATTTAGTTGTCGATTGTTTGAAA